ATGTAGTGACAATTCAGATACTTGCTAGTTGACTTTAAAAGATTTAAGAGTAATTTCCAGGTGAAATTTTTGGTTTATATGTTCATTTGGTCTGACTTCTTTCATTGTTAAGGGAGAAAGCAGAGAAATCTAAATTGATCTCTATTATAAATGTGATCTGACTATATATGTATACTAGTAGTAAAAATCACAGAGACACAGATCCACCTAATCCGTTATTTTCACGTTCTTCCATGTTATTATCATGTACTACTAATAAACAAAGCATGGCTGGTCTCATACTCAATACACTGCACTGATTGTCTTCCTCTTTCACTTTTTTAGAAACAATGGCACCAATGATATTCGTTGACTTTCCCAACTGCTTCATCTTCATTCTCCTCTGTTTCTTCTCACTCTTGTCTTACTCTGTCATCTTAAAGAAACGAAAGGACTCACAAGTTGACTTCCATTTACCTCCGAGCCCTCCGTCTCTGCCGATCATCGGTCATCTTCACCTTCTTCTCTCTGTTTTAGTCCACAAGTCTTTTCAGAAAATCTCCGAATTTTCAGTTTCCCCATAGTTCTTGTGTCCTCTGCCTCCATGGCCTACGAGATCTACAAGAGGCACGACTTAAACGTCTCATCTCACGGTATAACTGCCAACGATGAATCTCTTGTTAAAGAAGCGGTGAAGCTCACCAACAATGTGATCTGCAGGATGTGCATGGGGAGGAGTTGTTGAGAAGAGAATGGTGAGGCAGAGAAAGTCAGGGAATTGGTTATCAAGTCGGTTGCCTTAACAAAGAAGATTGTTGTTGCATACATGTTTCGTAAGCTTGGAATTTCACTGTTTAAAAAGGAGGTAATGGGAGTTTCGCGTGAATTTGACGAGTTGCTGGAGAGGATTCTTGTGGAACATGAAGAGAAAGCGGAGGAGCATCAAGATAGGGACATGATGGATTTGTTGTTGGAAGCTTATCGAGATGAAAAGGCAGAGTATAAGATCACTAGGAACCAGATCAAGGCTTTGTTCGTGGTAAACTAAATCTTCTTTCACACAACATTATAGGTTAATTCATTGAGAATCCATATATCAAGGCGATTTTTGTGGTAAACTTGATATATTGAGAATCCATATATCAAGGCCTCTCTTGATTAGGAAGTTTCAAGAAAGTTGTGAGATCAAAGAATTCTACATACCAGAGAAGACAACACTTTTTGTTAATGTATATGCTGTGATGAGAGACCATAATTATTGGGAAGATCCTGATGAGTTTAAGCCAGAGAGGTTTCTAGCTTCTTCGAGATCAGAGCAAGAAGATGAGATAAGAGAGCAAGCATTGAAGTACCTTCCTTTTGGGTTGTCCTGGATCAAATCTAGCTTATATCTTTCTAGAAATCGCGATTGGAATGATGGTTCAATGTTTTGACTGGAGAATCAAAGAAGAGAAGGTCAACATGGAAGAGACTTTTGAAGGAATAACGCTAACCATGGCTCATCCGCTTAAGTGCATTCCTGTTGTTCGAATCGACCCTTCAACATTTTATTAGAAGAGTCCGAGTTTGTGACTTGTAATGATCAGAAGATGGGACTTTCCTTTCCTTTATGTGTTGTTGTGTTCATCTTCTTCAAAAACGTTCAACTACATGTGTATTCTTTATCATGTTTGTTGTATACACACACTGGCACACACAGACACATCTATTTCTGTTCATGTTTCTACTAGCTGATAACAAAAACGAGAATGCTTTTTCTTTCATTATATAAATACTAGAAATGTTAGGCGAGATTTTTGTATAGATATAATCATTCTAGTTTTAAAGAGATGAATTTATATAAACATTTATATTGGTAACAAAAATCAAGCAATATACAACATAAATATTGTAGAGGATACTATTTTTTTTTATGTCATGTTAACTTGGGTCTACATGTTGACCAATACATGAGAAAGAGAAACGATGATGCCCTAGTTCTTTCATTGTTAAGGGAGGAAGCAAACAAAGCTAAATTGATGTTCTTCACCTAACATCAAGAATTGTTTTGTTTCCAGGGTTTTATTATGTTTTCTTGCATTAGCTGATTAGAGAAACAATTTGACACATTTTGCTAGAAATTTCTCTGGTTTACATTAAGTTTGTACACCTGATGTTCCTTGCATGATGCTATGTGCCATAGTTACTAAACATCCTCAAGGAATCTACCAAAATCAAGCTGTATGGGTTATTTCTGTCATAATACATATTGTTTCTTGCATCAATCTGCTAATGCAAAATCCTAGACTGCTCAAACATAGAGCAGTCTCACTCTTGAAAACCGCCTCAGTTGTGTCACCACTTATCTTGTCAGTTGCTTCCTTCAGTAGCATTACAAAAGAAACCGAAAACCTCTCTGCATCATCCTGGCTTGGACCCAACTCCATGTTTAAGTTGTTGTCGTTGGGTGTTGGTCCTGCTTCAATATCATGGCATATCTTTCTCTTCTGTAACTCTTTTTCGAGTCTTGCTAGCGACTTGGTTGATGCCATCTCTTCTAAGCATTTCACCGAAGAGTTGAGCTTTTCCTCGAAGGCTTTGAGGTCATGACTGATGTGATCCCAAGGAAACACAAGTGTTGGTTGAGCTCCAGATAGGTTTTTGAGGCCATCACAAACATAGAGACAAAGATCAGATATTTTCGAGAGAGAGCCCAAAAGCTTGTTGTAACTGACCACGTTGAGTGGGCGGACGAAGGAAATATTAGGCTCGGTCAAGGCTTCTGCTGTAAACCTCTCTAAAGCCTCAACATGAGATTTGAGTTTTGCCTGCCTTTTTCTCAAATCTGTAACCACTGACATTTTCTGGTTCTTTTGCTCAGAACAAAGAACCAGTAACCGGATGCAATCTAAGAGTGCATCGAGACAGTGTGAAAACTCGGTTCTTGCGAGAGTTGCTGCTCTTGCAGGGGTGACCAGAAGCTCCCCAAAGGCAAAACAGAGCAGCCCGATTGATGCTTCAACAATGCGAGTGATTGCAAATTCAGTTGGAGCTCCATAATTTCTCCTTCCAAGTATCAACAGTGCTGCAATGGCAGCTGTAACTCCTCCCGGTTGGCCATAGACTTTGCTGTGCCTCATGAAGACGGTCACGGCTATCCAAGGGAGCAGAGGTAAGAACCTGAACTCTTGTAACCTTTGGAAAACAGCGCAACATAATAGAGCGTAGACTGATCCCATCGCTGTCCCTTGTAGACGAGAATTTGCTACTGTTAGTGTTGCTTGCCTACCGCTTACAAGGCTAATGGCTACGGTTAGACCTGACCAATACCCGTTTTTCTTGTTATACATAATACCAAACAGCACCGCAAGGCCTAGAGAAACCGAGCACTTCAGTGCAAAAACAAACCTTTCTCTAGCCATCCAGACACAGAGAATATCCAAAACTCTCTTGGTCGTGGAGAATCCTTCCTTGTCTGGGTGAGTTTCTTCCTCGGTGTTACCCCTATCTACACATTTACTGTCTTGTCTCAGAGATAAGAAATCACCCCTGAAGAGTTCCACACAATACCGGAAGAAGCAAACCGGTAAAGCTGCAGTGGACAGAGAACCAGCCTCAGGATGCCACCTCAGCCTGTCCTCAGGCTTGAGAGTAGATTCTGAGTTAGGAGCAATCTGTGTTCTGGGACCTTCTAAAAGACTTGTGAGCTCATCGCGGCTCATGCCTAGAGGAAAAGAACTGCAAGATCCCAACGCCATCTCCATCCCCCTCATCAGAAACTCTCTGGCTTGCAGTTTCTCCCCATGATGCTTCTGCTTCCTTCTCAAGAATCTTGTATCTGGTCGCTCCCATACCATACGATCCTGTTACCAAAGAATATATACTTGTCAGAAACAGATGATTAGACCCACACGACGAGCCAAAGCAAACAGATCATTGTTCTTAGCAGATGTTCAATTTTATCAAGATAGTTGGCTTACATGGTGGATTTGGATGTTCTTGAGTGTGTTTCTTGCTGCTGCAGACAGTGAAGCGGCCCGTGCGATCAAAACCTGAGCTGTGGTGTTGTCTCGAGCCATCATGACCTCAGCGAACAAGTTCAACCTCTCCAGAGCATTTTCAGCATATAATTTGCAACCCCTAGTCATCTGCAAACCAGTTAAAACACAAAGTAAGTATTTTTGTAACCGTCTCATCATCAGAAAAAAAGGAAACAAACTGCAAGACTCACCTGACTATGAGCCAGTCTTGGAAATGGGAGAAGCACGGCGAGAAGAGACGCAATGGCTCCAAGCGCTGTACTAGCCGCCACATGAACCGGGAGCATGACCACATGAGCCATCTCTCCATTGAACACCACAAAAGTCACGTAGACAACCACAATCTGCCCAAAGGCAATTCGTTTAGTCAGAAGACTTGTGGAGACGGGGAAAGCCACGATGAATGAAGCTATAGCCACAGCAACTGGAGCCACCAAGCCATTTCCTAGTGATGCTGGTCCAACCACCAAGACACTCACTAGCGCAATGGCTAGTGTCTGAAAAGTGGCATAAGAGACATCTACACAACACTTGAGCACTTCGCCGTATGTTGGTTCAGCATCGGATAGCCAGATCAAGATTGTGGTCAGGTAAGAAAAGGCTGGGAACGTTATCAAGCCTCTTAGTGGTTTGGGACCATATAAAGTGGTTAAGCTCACGATAAGACAAGCCATGGCGGTTCTCAGAGCCAGGCCAAGTCGCTCGAGACATGTTGTATCTCGCATTCTTTTTACGGATTGTTTTGTGGAATTTTTTTTTGTAGAGAGTTTTTGTTGAATCATGCACGATGATAAGATAATATGGTTATGGTGAACAAGAAGAGTACGTATAAATAAGGCGTGATGGGATTTAGAGTGGCAACGTCAAAGAGTTAAGACTTATGAGCAGCTGTCTCTTTTAGCTCCATGAATTTTCATTTTCTACAATTCGTATTTCGTAATATTGG